TATATATGTTTTCAAACTGTTTTAGTTTTATGCTTTATAATTCAATTCAACCAAAACTAGTCGTAGATACGGGGTTCATTCCTTCACAGTCCGCCGGCGGATGAGCCGGGCTGAAGCGGTGAAGACGGGGAATCATCTGAGTGGGTCGGCGAAAACAAGTATTTTAATTTATTGAAAATCTACGATTTGAGAGAGGGAACGAAATAAAATCACTCCAAAACAAGCTAATGGGTGAAATACAACATATATTTTTTCACTGTAGTCCTTAATTGGGGATCGGGGTTAAAAATTTGGCAGCCTGGTTTCAAAAGCTTTAAAGTCAAATTATTGTTTTCTGAATGGGGTTAAGTTGCCGCTTTTTAAACTGTAAAAACCACATGTGAGAAAACTTCTTCCTCTTCTTTGATTAGCTGGCGGTTGGCAAACAGCGGCTGTGCGGCTCACCATCTGCTTCCCCGGTTTAAGAATGGGGCGCGTCCCCCGTCTAACACGTACTTCCGCGCACTAGTGGAGCTGCTTCCGGCTGACAGTGGAGCTACTTCCGCCCAGCGGCAGAGCTGTTTCCGGCTGACAGCGGAGCTCCGTCGCCGTGGAGCTGGATTGTGGGCGGAAACAGGATATTCGGAGCGAGCGTCGGGCTGAGGTGTGTTTATGGGAGTTTTTAGGGCCGATTTCTGAAGAAGTGGAGTTTCAGCCTGACAGGAAAAAGCGGCGGAGACAAAGAGCAGGAACTCCGGTGTTAGTTGGACGGCGGTGGGACTCTCCTCCCGGTGAGTCCGCTTCTTTTCTTTGGGCTGAGGAGAGCAGAGCTCCGCTTCCTGCCAAGATAAGGTCTCTGTGGCTGAAAAAGCCGAGAGCTCAGGTGTGTTCAGGGAGGTGGGGGTTATGGCTGCTGTTCCTACAGGTGTTAAAGTTTCCCGTAGCCGGGCTGCCTGCTGAACCCCCCGTCTCTAAACTTCCAGCAGCAACAAGTTTCACCTGCTAAACATGTCCGCCTCCCGCAGAGCAGCTGGGAAACTCTACAGGTTTAGTTTGGAAACTAAAATAGTTTCACTTTGTGGACAGAAGCAGGAATCTGCATCAACTGCATTAATTTAATACGAGATCGGGTGTTTTATTGGGGGGTGTTGCAGTGATGGGGCTCAGGTTTGCCTCCAGTTCTGCTCTCTGAGCCTTTATCTGTCAAACTGGGAGTTATTCCGGCAGCTGTTGTTAGAATGAACGTGGATCCATGCTGGGATCAACCCCCCCCCCGCCAGGTTGATCACAGGTTCCCACCGCTGTTGCATAATGAGGCGGTAAGGTGTGTCCTCCCTCGCGCCCCTGCAGCAGGTGAGTTGTTGCTCCTGCTGCCGTTTGGGGAGGAGCTGAAAGCAGGAAGAAGCTGAAAAGATCCACGAATAACGTCACCTTCATTCACCTTTACAAAAAATAGGTTAAACAGTAACATCCACTGACTTTTGAAAACGTTTAGCTTCCCATCCTGGAAGCTTTTCTAATTCAAAATGTCAGTAATAGCATTTTATCGGTTTTTCTTTCTTAAGCATGAAGCCATCTATGTTAAGAAAGAAAAAC